GTCATGTATGTGCCTGGACAGAAGAGGGGATTGGATCTCCTGAAACGGGAGTTACAGATGGTTGTGAGCCACCTTATGGGTGCTAGGAATCAAACCCAGGTCCTCTAGAAGATCAACGAGTGCTGAAGGGTCTTCTTCTAGCTCTGGTTTTTGTTGTTGTTTTGTTTTTGGTTTTTTGTTTGTTTGGGTTCTATTTATTTATTTATTTATTTTTATTTTTTGTTTTTATTGAGACAGGATCTCACTATGTAGCTCTGGCTATCCTGAAACTATGGAGACCAGGCTGACCTTGAATGCACAGAGATCTACTGTGGTGATATTTTATTTGTGCTGAAATGTGGTGATATTTTATTTGTATGTTAATAAATAAAGTTTGCCTGGAGATCAGAGGTCATAGCCAACCATAGAGACCTGGAGGTCTGTCCAGACAGGTAGTGACAAGGAAGTGAGGTGGCTGGGCTAAGAGCCAATGAGAGGGCAGAACAGCAAGGCAATAAAGACCCAGGTTAGACAGGAAGAAGCTGGTTCGGTTCTCTTGGGAAGCTACAGCGGCGTGGTGAGCTAAGGTTAGTTGGTGGCCCTCACTATTTCTATGATCTCTTGGGCTTTCACCCCTGTATTTGGCTCTGTGTTTCCTATTTAATAAGACTGTTTAGAAATTCGTCTATAATCTACCTGCCTCTGTCTCCCAAATGCTGAGATTAAAGGTGTGTGCTACCATGCCCAGCTTATGATTATCTTTATTTCTGAACAATTCTTATCTCTTCACCCAGTATCTTTCCCATTGTGGGGAGCAGAGGAAGCCCTGAGTGAATGTGTGGTGTTGACATGAGCTGGTCCTGGTAAGGACCCTAGCCTCAGACCTATGGGGAAATGGCTGGCGGCGCGCGCACGCGCGTGCGCACACACACATACACACACATACCAGGGCGAGGCTCAGAGGGATAGCAAATCCTTCCTCTGGTCCATGTGCAAATGTTGACAGAAATGTCTACCATTTCTCCCTCTGGATATTTATGGCCTGAAGATGCTCCTCTACAGAGATTG